CTGTTTGGGAAGTGGATAGCTGAAAATTAGTATTCTATTGTTTCTATTCTATTTATTAGTATTTTGTTGTTTTTATGACATTAAAAATAGTGCTATTTGAAATATGTTGGTGTTTCGTTTACCATGTGAAGTAATTAGATGTTCTTTCACCAACAGTTCAAGTTTTTGTTTGGGACAGGATCTTGCTATGTAGTTCAGGCTGGCCTTGAACTTCTGGCAATCCTCCTGCATCAGCCTCCTGAGTTCTGGGATTATAGGCATGTACCACCATGCCTGGCTCAAGAATTTAATACATTAAAATAAATTTTTAAATGATATCTGCAAAGTCTTTTTTTGATGTGAGTAATAAATATTGCTAATGTTGTTTTGGGTTTTTTTGTTTGTTTGTTTGTTTGTTTGTTTGTTTTTTATCTTTTGGTACCGGGAATTGAACTCAGGATCTCACACTTGTGAGGCAGCAGCAGCACCACTGAGCTAAATCCCTGGCCCTACTTTTACTTTTTGTTTAGAAAAGGTTAAAATATAGAGAAATTTAGCTTCCTGTAGCATATGTATGAGTTTTAACCAGTGTTAGGTCTTTGCTCTGAGGACAGAGTCAAATTTGGCAGATTACTGTGATACCTTGTGGAACAAGGCTGTTATTGAGAATGGGTAGTGAGACCTAGAGGTAGAAAAGTTAAGGTAATATTCCTTTAGTCTCATCACCTGTAGCTTGCATTGTGGTAAGGGCCTTATCATTGGGTTTCCTACCTTCAGCCTGTCCATTCTGTTGTACTCTCAGTGTTACTTTCAAATTCATTTTCTTAAGTATAACTGCAGTCAGGCCACTTTTCTGCTCAGCAGCCACCACTGTCTCCTATTACCTATATTGCTGAGTATAAATTTTTCACACAGACAGTTGAGGCCTTCTTGTAAGGATTTTTTTAACCACATTGTTCGTTGTCTCTCCACCTTGTATTTTGGTTTTGTCACCTGTAATGTTTTCCTCCTTCTGCCTTTCTATGTATTGAAATGTCTTTCATTCTCCAAAGTTCATGATGATATCTCCTTTTCAATGAAAGAAATCATTCTCTTATTGCCTTCAGATAAGAACGAGGTCCTTAGCTTGGCATGGAAGAGCCTCCCCATTTGAATGGCCTTTCTAGCCTGTCCATTGCTTTTACTTCAGCAGAGTCAAACTGGTCTGCTTACTGTCCATTTTTGTATCCGTTGTTTATTCTGTGCCTTTTGAAATACCTGGAATTTTGTACTCATGTGGATGGAGGTGTAGCTCAATAGTAGATTGCTTGTCTAGCAATTTGATTTGATCCTGAGCACTGGAAAAAAAAATTCATGCACACTTTCTTTTTTGTTGTTGTTTTTTTGTTTTTTGAGACAGGGTCTCACTATGTAGCTGAGACTGACCTGGAACTCACTATGTAGCCCAGGCTGGTTTTGAACTCACAGTGATCCTCCTGCCTCAGCCTCCGGAGTGCTGGGATTACAGGCGTGCGCCACCACACCCGGCTCATGCACGCCTTCTGAACCCCCACCTCTTTTGCTAGCCCAGTGAACAAGTTTTAGTTAGATTGATTAGAAATCTTTTCTTCATTTGCAGAGATGCCAGATTTGTTTAATTTGTATATTTACCCTGAGCCACGTATAGTCTTATATTTTCATTTTATGAGTAGTATGAACAAATAGACATTAAAATTTTTAAATCCTAGTAAACACTGAAAGTATGATGTAAATTATTTGTTTTGGAGCATACACTGAGGACCACTTGACCTAATTCTGCTGTGCATTTTAAAAATAGATTTCCAGAAGAATGTCTCAATTTTTGGATGCAACCAAGTATTACATGATTTGTGCATCATATATTCATCTATCCAGGAACGTTTGAAAGCAAGAAAACAGGAAAGGGAAAATTGTTAGGATTACAGTGAAGTTTTCAATCTTAACATATCTAGATGACATTGTGCATATTACTTTTCCCAACATCTGAAATACCTCCTAGACTTTCAGTTCTGATATTTTGGATTTTGATCATTGTATACAATTGTTTTGTGTTTAAAGTTAATATGGAGGGCTGGGGATTTAGCTCAGTGGTTCTGCCACCTGAATGCTTTGGATATTTAGATTTATGCTAAAATCATTTAGGACCGCTTTTTTTTATAACGTGATGCTTAGAATATGCTTTTCTCACTAATAGGAAAAGTAATATGAAAATATTATGGAAAATTTGAAAAGTATCGGAAATACACAGAGAAAAATAACTGATAGCTAGTCCACCTCTTGCATTCTCAATACCAGATTTAATGCCCAACATGTAGAAGACACTCTAAATATTTGTTTAATGGTTATATGAAAGTAGCACGTTAATGGTTATTTGTAACCTGGCAAAATACATTAAGTATATTGTAGTTTTCCTCTTTGGAGATACAGAGAATTGTCTAACTTGGAAATACATATTTTCACATTTCAGGAGCATTTAGACAGTACCCATGGTTCAGTCCATTCCTTAGATGCAGATTTATTGTTACCATCTGTAGATCCATTCAGTAAATCGGATAATGACATGTTTAAAGATGGACTCAGGAGAGCACAGTCTACAGACAGCTTGGGAACCTCGGGCTCATTGCAATCCAAAGCTTTAGGCCATAACTTCAAAGCAAAATCTGCTGGAAACCTTGATGAGTCGGATTTTGGACCTCTGGTAGGAGCAGATTCGGTATCTGAGAACTTTGATACTGCATCACTTGGGTCACTGCAGATGCCAAGTGGGTTTATGTTAACCAAAGATCAAGAAAGAGCAATCAAGGCGATGACACCAGAACAAGAAGAGACAGCATCCCTCCTCTCCAGTGTTACCCAGGGTATGGAGAGTGCTTATGTGTCTCCCAGTGGATACCGCTTAGTCAGTGAGACGGAGTGGAATCTCCTGCAGAAAGAGGTGAGTTATTCTGTTCTTTTCCCTTTTACTTACTCTGAGGGACACAAAGTAGCTCTCAGATTTATTCTTTAAGTAGTGCCTGGAGTCAGTGCAGGCATATGTTGCCTGCAGGTAAATGTTAAACCCATATTATCTTCCCTTATAGTAGTTTGCTTTAGCTCTTCCATGTTGATTGTGATAGAGAAGGAAACTAACTAGCTATAATGGTGTTAGAATTGGGGTGATCTGTCTGGTGAGCATCACCAAATTAGCCCAAATTTCAATTTTCTAAAATCTGTATTCACAATTCACATTCATTCTTCTTTCCTTTAGGTGTGACATGAAAATGTTCATCACCAGAAAGTGGGTTTAAGGAGAGGATCAAAAATAGAGAGAAAAGAAGGCATCCCTTCATAAGAGCAATTTTCCTTAGAATCTGCAAATTCAGGAGATAAAAACTTAAATATGTATTTGCATAATGCTTTACAGATTACAGAGCTCTTTCACATACCTCCTCTCTTTCAGCTTTGTAATCATAATGAAGCAGTCAGAACATGATTGTCTTTGGCTTACAGAAGAGGCAACTGGCTCAGAAAGTTCAATCCTTGTTCAAATTTTCCCCTTGATCTAGTAGCAAAGCCTGGGCTAGAATCCAGGTGTTCTGATTTATAGTACTTTGCCTCTCTTAGGGCTACTTCTCTTTAAAGAAGCACTTGATCAGGAAGTAGAGGAGTTTATTAAGCCTCAAAGAAGCTATTCTTCTTAGGCTCATGCAAAAAAAAATATGTGAAGGTGCTATTTAATAGTTTCATATCTATTTTGTAATTGGAGCTGGTGAAATGGGGAACTGGCATTGTTTTTCCTTTCCCATTGTTTGGATATTATTTAAATTCTTAGTGTCATACTGTAGCACTTTTTGACTGTATTCCTCAAAAATGATGTTTTGTGGCCCTTGTTTTCCTATCATATTTGTACTGGAGATTATGACTTCTTAAGCTCTAGCCCTATATTATAATTTCTAACCATAAGGTCCCGGAGAAATAGCATACTCTATTGTACACTTTTGAATAACCGTGGTAAATGTATGCTTGTGTTCCTAAAAGTATGTGATATAGAATCATTTTGTTCTGTCTGCTAAGGGGTAATTTTGATATGCTTCAGGTTCATAATGCTGGAAATAAACTTGGGAGACGTTGTGATATGTGTTCCAATTATGAAAAACAATTACAAGGAATTCAGACTCAGGAGGCTGAAACAAGAGACCAGGTGAGTTTTCATTTGGATGTGTCAAATTGGTGAGCTGTTGTAGTTTTTCATTGGAGGTGAAGAATTTTCTTTTCCCTTCATTTGCTTATGAAGCATATCTACCTTGATAAATTGTGAAATAATCTGGCAGATGCAGTGACAGTTGTACTTCCATTAGGAGCCAAGTAGGATTTTGCTTTGTGTATCAGCTTCATTTATGTGTCAGTACCCATGGGTCCCTTCAGCTTTTAGAAAAACACCACATCTTCTTTCTTACTTTTTCTTTCCCATCCAGTGCTCAAATATGATGTTGGCATGATCTTACGCACATGGAGAATACTTCATGAAATGGAGATGAGGGAGATAGGAAGTTGACTACTGAGTTTGATAGAATAAAAGCTTAATTGAATCATGTAATAAGAATTTGGAATCTTCATTTCTAATTGCCTACTTCTTGACATAAATTTGTTGAATTCATTAAAATTAATTTATGGACATATAGATTGGTATGCTCAGATTGATAAGCCCTAAGTACTTTTACAAATAGCAGTATTGAGTAATGGGTACCCTGATAACATTTAGAAAATAATGTAGAATGTCTCAAAAGTAGGCTTGTGAAAGCAAATGTAATTGTTCTTTATTATGAAGAGTGTTCCTTTAGTCTTGGAAAGAACTCAAAGCAGGTTAAGATTAGTTTAATATTTTTAAACATTATTGGCACTGAGTTCCTCCATATTCTCTTTTCATGGATATTTCAAAGATAGACTTCTAAAACATTTTACAAAACTCAGAGAGTTGACCTCTGATAATGTGGCATGAAAATGGGCCATCTTGGATCCCTTCATCTTACTAATAACCATTACTGATGTCTCTTCTGTCTGGCATTGTCCTGGACCTTGGTCTTTCAGATTCAGCAGAAAGACAGTTATTTCCTGTAAGGAGCTTTCTGAGTTGTGATCTGAAATTCAATGCTTTTTTTTCCTGGAGACATGCAGTTGGAATTAGAGGAGGGCATACAACTTAACTGTAGGCTCAGGAAAGGCAACACTTGAGCTAAGTTTGTTTTAGAGCCTAGGTTAAAAATTATTTGGGAAAGGTACGGAAGGAGAGAGAGGGTACTCAAGGAGAGTAAAGATGTATAAAGGGACAGAGTTGTGAAAGAAAGATTTGTAGTTTAGAAACTAGGAGTAGTTTGTGAGGCTAGGAGAGAGATGTTATAAAATAATGCTAAAAGAGCCTGTGGAAGGTGGCAGCATTGGTAGCAGCAACACCACCTAAGCACAGAGGCTGGGGCCTGGCATGGTGGCGCATTCTGCACTGTGAGAACACAGCAGCCACTGGGTTGCCATGAGTTGGAGACCCTGAAATGGGCGCCAGTGGCTCCAAAGCTCGGGGCCTTTGGCCCTTTGCCTTGGCGGCAGGGTGTAGTATCCTGGAGACTGCGGGCAATGAGCAAGCCTTGGTGAGGCTGAGAGGTGCCGCCCTTCGTATTCACGCACTGCGGCTCTATGTCGAGGATGGGGATCTGGCTCATGGGTTCTATGAGGAGACAATCGTCACCAAGAATGCCAAGCTGAGGTGGGTGTATAAGAATATGATTCCTCAGGGCATTGTGAAGCTGAATCTCCCCCCATCCCTGCCCCGCATCCACATGGATTTCCCTGTGATCCTCTATGAAGTGTGAGCCTGGTGGGTGACAGAAATAAGCACCCCTCAAACCCAGTAGAAACTTCCATTCTCAAGGTGTGGCTTCCATTAAGAAGCTCAGCCTGGGGCCACAACCCTGAATAAACTCTGTTGGCCCAGAACCTTCAGCTGTGAACAGGGCAGTCCTCAAATAAATTGGGTTTTGGTTTGTGTGTGGACAAGAAATGGTGGCTGGCAAAGGCTAATGGCAGAGTTATCAGCACAGCTTTCCCAGCTCCCACCAGAAGGAGCATGGCAGGGCATATGCCAGTCAGCAGTGTGTGGTTACTGGTTCCTTGCCTGGCCTGCTTTCTTCTAAGCTTGCCTAAGGCCCAGCCCTACTAGAAGCTATAGCACTTTACATGCAAAGTCTGCCTTCTTCCAGCCCCTGGGCTTTGGGAGCTCTACACAAGTGGGAACTTCCTTTCCCTCACTTCTTTTACCCCCTAGTCAGAGCATTTCAGTTATTTGCTACCTTGATTCTTCTTGTATTGGACAGAGGCTGGGGACAGCACCAGACTGATTCTTCCCCACTTCCCTGCCATTTGTTCCCGCTTTCAGATGTACAGTTTGCTGGCTGTTAGCAGCATGAGGACTGGTATGGGTAGCTTCTACCTTTCCCAGGGCTTGGCTAATTGCTCCCCAGTGCAGCTAGTTATTGCCATCTCCTCAGTTAAGAGGTACAGGCTAGAGTCAAAACAGGCTGTGGATGTCTGTGCCTATGGGGAGTTGCCCCAAGCCTATTCTAACTGCCCTCTTGCCTACCACCTAGTTGGGGGGGTTCACTACCCTGTGATGAACAACATACTAGAGTTGGTACCAGTCGTGTTATGAGGAGCCCACCACATTTCCCCCCAGTTTCTTCACCCTTTCTGGATCAGTCAAGGGAAAGTACTAGGGCCCCTCGATAGGGACAGAAAGGAGGGCAAAAACATAAAGGGAATACTGTACTTAAAATGTGAAGATTTGTAAGTAGTCTAGTCCATCATTATGTTGGGGCAGTCTGATTTCTACATAGAAATTACTTTTTTTTTTTTCGGTTTGTGTTTTTAAATTTCTTACAGTGCAAGCTCTGTGCTTCTAGTGTGGGACATGGCTTGGGAACATAGGAAGATTGTTGTGTTATTTGTTCGATTTCAATAAAATTATTTGTAGATCCTGTAAAATAAATAAATAAATGAATGAATGAATAATGCTAGAAGAAGCTGCAAAGGAAAGCCAGGAACCCAAGTTCAATCCCTGGTACCAAAAAAACAAAACAAAACAAAACAAAAAAACAAAGGAAAGCCAGGAAGGTATCATTGAGGCAGTGTGATGATTAAGGGAGTTTAGATTTAATCTTGATGGCACTAGAAGTCATTTGGGGCCTTTTAGTAAGTAAGAAATAATAACTATTTCATTTTTATAAAATTTATAATGTTTTTGTGGATTGTAGATTGGAGGCAGAGGATATACTAGAATAAGGAGTCCAGTGCTAGAACTGAAAGGCCCCACAGGGGAAACACTTCTCAAATGAGATCATGTGTGTGAAAAATTGTTAACTATGAAGCACTGCAGTGTCTCATGAGCTCATTCCATTTCTTTCTGAATTGATATATTCTCAAAAAAAAGTGTAAAAAGGATTTTGGAGTTGGCTTTGATGTTTTTTGTTGTCTTAATTTTGTTTCTGTTTTTTATGGTTTGTTAATTTGTTTTTTAAGGCAATCTTGCTAGCTCAACTTGCAGTTCTTTGCCTCAACTTCTCAAGTTGTTTTTTTGTTTTAATTTATGGAATAACTATGGGCTGGAGTTGTAGCTCAGTGGTAGCGTAGTTGTCTAGCATGTGTGAGGTCCTAGGTTTAATCCCCAGCACTGAGAGAAAAGTAAAGAGAAAAAAATTATGGTTCTTCCTTCTAACTGAGTTTTAAAATTACATAGGTAAAAAAACTGCAGGTGATGCTAAGGCAAGCTAATGATCAGCTAGAGAAGACAATGAAAGATAAACAGGAGCTAGAAGACTTCATCAGGAAGAGCACTGAGGACTCCAGCCATCAGGTAAACGCAGGATTTTAGAATGTGGAATGTGACTGAGAAGGGATGACTGAGTTAAAAAAAAACAAAAACGAAACAAAACAAAACAAACCAGGCATCTTGGTGCACACCTGTATCCCAGCACTCTGGGAGGCTGAGGTGGGAGAATTGCAAATTTGATCACAGTCTTGGCGACTGAGTGACTTAGGTGCTGTCTAAAAATTAAGAAACAGGACAAATGGGTCTGTGGATGGAGCTCAGTGTAAAGGTGTATGTTTAATCTCTAGTTCAAAAAAAAAAAAGAATTATTTTCTAAGTTTTGAATACATAGAAAAAAAACAAACATACAGATATACCAAACATACCAGTACTGACAATTCATGTAACCATCAAGATCAAGTACTACATTAGCCAGTATCCTGAAACATTAGCTACTTAACCCCTCTACTTACTCCCTCCTTTTTCAGAAGTAATCACTGTCCTAACACCATTATTTATGTCAGCTTCTCATTTTAAAAAGTCATACTGTATGTACTGTGTCTGTCTTTATTCAGTAATATGTGAGATTCCTGTTCATTCACATACATGTTGGTTCATTTTAATTGCTGTATGGTTATACCATTGTATGGATGTACTATTTTTCTCCTAATGTGGGTGAATATCTTAGTTGTTTATAGTTCTGGGATATAATGAATAATGTTACTTTGACATATTGTGTAAAGCTTAGGGAACATGGTTCTTCAGGCTGTGTATCTAGGAGTAGAATGACTGAGTCAAAATGTTTCAAAAGTATATGTTCCGCCCAATAGTTTTCCAAAGTGGTTCTACCAGATTAAAAATGGCAGAGTAAAAATTGACAGCAAAATATAGACTCTGAGACCTGGAACTGAGATACTTAGAAAACATCAACTTTAGCAAAGAGAAATTGGGCTCCAGGAGTCAAGAGCTGGCAGGAAAACAAAAAACTATAGATAAATTTAAGAAAATGAGAATAATGCAGAGAAAAGGAAGGAAGCAGGCTAGAATGCAAAGCCTAGGTCCTGGGGAGAGGGGTACCTGACTCTGAACATGGTAATGGTGCCTGGGATCAAGCCCTCAGAAGGTTGGACACTGAGAAGACCCTCAGCTGTTATGCTGAATACATTGAAGAGGGATATAAACACCAAAACATAAATCCAAGGATATGTCACAAGAAGACCAAACTTAATGAAAGAGGTCTCTCCACAGTAATGTCAGGAGTTTCTCTACCCTAATTGATCTTCAACCAGCAGCACAAAAACAATAGAAATATGAGAAAACAAGGCAACAAGATGCCTCTCAACCCCTAATTCCCAAAAAAACTGATCTCATGGACACTGAAGCCATAGGCAAAGAACTCAAAAACAAAATGGTCAAAATATTTGAAGAGATAAAAGAAGAAATATGTAAGCATATGCCTAAGATGTTTGATGAGCTCAAAGAGGCTTTAACTTAATAAAATGTTCACTAAAGAAGAAACTAGCAGGACAGGGATTTAGCTCAGTGGTGCCCTGCTAGCCTTGCAAGCACAAGGTCCTGAGTTCGATCCCTGGTACCAAAAGAAAAATAAGAAGCAATAAGCTAATTGAGTTAAGCAGGACAATACAAAGCATGAATGATTCCTTTGGAAGAGAGGAAAGTATGGGAAGAAAGCAAGCAGAGATCAGTTATACAAAAAAGTACAATGCGAAGCTTGGGTAGCAGACTTGATCAATATTTCTGACAGAGTGTCAGAAATAAAGAACAAGATGGATGTAGTTGATCTTAAACTCAATGATACCCTAAAAATGATAGAACATTGTGAAAGCTGGATCCAGCAGCTGCTACACAACAACAAAAAAATCCCACCTCAGAATTATAGAAATAAAGGAAAAATTAGATGACTCAAAATGTATAAAAATTTATTCACTGAAAACCTAGCAGAAAAATTTCATATTCAAGTAGTATATAAGAGGCATATAGTAAGAACCCCAATTAGCTATGGACAAAAATATCTCCATTATATGTACATTAGAATCAAAATGCCAGAAATACAATCAAAGGAGAGAATACTAAATGTGAGAAAAACCGCAAGTAAAGTATAATGGCAAGCCTATTGGAATAACTACAGGTTTTTCAGCACAATTCTCAAAGGCCAGGAGAGCCTGAAGCAAAGTTTTTAAATTTATAAAAGAAAACAATTGTCAGTGCAGACTTTTATAGCTTAAAAAATTAGCCTTCAAAATGACAGGATATTCCATGACAAATCATAAAAGAAATACTTGGTCACTAAACCAACATTTCAGAAAATACTTAATGGAATTCTGGACTGATTATGGTGAACCTTTTAGAGCTTTCAGTGATAACAAAAGCTGTGACATGTATACTATAAATTTACCACCACTGTCTTAGACAGAGACAAGCCAGCAGCACCAAAGAGTTCAAGGGAAAGTGTACATAAAAGGAAAAAATGAATCAGTACTGGAAAAATAATGTAACAGCAGGATTCAGTAAACACCTTACAATAATAACTGAAGGGCATTTGTTTCAACTCCCCAGTCAAAAGGCAGACTGGCAGATTGGATTTAAAACATCAGAATCAAAACTGCTTATGAGAGACACACCTCATCTAAAAGGAAGTACATAAACTGAAAGTGAAAGCATAAAAGAGGTAGATACTCTATTCCATTGGAGCCTGAAAGCAAGCAAGAATAGCTGTCTTATTTTCAGACACAGGCTTCAAGCTAAAACTGATCAGAAGAGACAGTGATGGCTATTACATACTTGTAAAAGGAATAATTCAACAGGAAGAGATAACAGTTGTAAATATCTTTATACCAAATGTCAGCACGCTCAGTTTCATAAAACAAACTGGACTTAAAAGGACAGACACCAATACAATCAGAATGGAGGACTTCAAAACCTTATTCTCACAATTAGACAGGTCAACCACAGGAAAAAGTAAACAAAGAAGCATCAGAGTTAAACCATACCATTGAACAAAATGGACCTGACATATCTACAGTGTTCAACCAACAGCAGCAGAATACACCCTTTTTCTTAACAGCTCGTGGAACTTTCTCCAGAATAGGTCATATGTTAGATCATAAACCATGCTTAAATAAAAAAAATTACATACAGTTGGATCATAGTGAAATGAAGCTAGAGATCAGCAAAAGAAGCCACAGAAACTACACAAACACATGGAGTTTAAATAATGTGTTGTTGCTGAATAATCAGTGGATCACAGAAGAAATCAGGAAAGAAATAAAAACGTTCCTAGAATCAAATGACAATGGAAGCAATACATACCCAAACCTATGGGACACAATAAAAGTAGTTCTAAGAGGGAAGATTATAGCTATAAATGCACACATAAAAAGAATAGAGCAGCCGGGCGTGGTGGCGCATGCCTGTAATCCCAGCACTCGGGAGGCTGAGGCAGGAGGATCGCTGTGAGTTCGAGACCAGCCTGGGCTACATAGTGAATTCCAGGTCAGTCTCAACTACATAGTGAGACTCTGTCTCAAAAAAAAAAAAAAAAAAAAAAAAAAAGAATAGAGCAATCCCAAATAAATAATCCAATAATGTATCTCAAAGACCTAGAAAGACAAAAATAATCCAAGTCTGAAACTAATGGAAAGAAATTATAAAGATTAGAGCAGAAATTAATGAAACTAAAACTAAAAAGTAGTACAAAAGATCAGTATCAAAGAGTTGATTCTTTGAAAGGATGAGAAAGGGATTTGGGATGGTGGAGATGGAAGAGAATGGGTAGGGAAAGTAAAAAGTATCAAGATGCAATATTTTATGTACCAGTTCCCCCCACATTGAATATATTTACTATGTATCAGAATAATATAGTAAAAATTTTTAAAAATTGTGTTTACCTGCAAGTGCAAGGTCCTGAGTTTGATCCCTGGTACCAAAAAGAAAGAAAGAAAGAAAAAGTGGTTTTACTAATTTGTACCGCCACTAACAATTTATGAAAGAATCCAAGGTCTTGAAAAACCTCATTTTGTTATTTAATTATAGTGTTTTTGGTGGGTATGTAATGAATGGTATTTCATTGTGTATTTCTCTGATGATTGTTGAAGTTATTTAACATTTTCCATATTTACTTGCCATTGAAATATTGTGTGTGTATGAGTGTGTGATTCCTACTCAGTTCCTGTGCTCCTTACCTAGGATTGACTATTTTACTTTCCTTTTGGGGGTTATATTTCTTCTTGATTTGTTAGGTATTCTTTATTTAGAGCTTTTTTTTGGTTCTATGTATTGCATATGTGTCCTATTCTAACTTGGTTTTGTTTTGTTTTTTTTTCCTTTTTATTGAGTTTATTGGTACAATCTAGGTATACAAATACAGTTACATTCATCATTGGGATTCTGTACCTTTACATAATAGGTCTTGATTCTCATTTTTCCCCTTGTCCCTGCCCTCCCTTCACCCCCTCCTCCCCTCCCCATTTACAAACACTTTATTTCCATTTTTTCAGTTTCTCATATTTTTTTCCTCTCCCTTATTACCTTTCTCCCACCCTTCCCACTTTCCTTACACCTTTAGCCCTTTACTTCCTATTTCACATTATTAATTGTCTCATTAGGATCCTGTGTACTATTATAGTTTTTCACACCAAAGAAACTATTCGGTATTTCAGTTAAAGAAATCTCTGTATGAACATTCAAAATAGGGAACCCTAAAATAAAACTAAAAAGGAAAGTAAAAGAGAAAAGGCAATGATGTAACATCAAAATAATCCTTAATTCTGGAGATGAAAATGGTCCCTGAACATATTTAAATTGCTTCTCGCTCTTATAGTCTTATCTTATTCTTTTTTCATTATTTAGAGAATACTTTATTAGTTTCTGTAATCAAACCC